GAGGGAGCCAGAAAGGCCTGAAGGCTGGATGCCTTTTTTAAGGAGTAAGGAAGGGATGAGCCGCAGGGGCAGTGCAGGAAGCTTTGTGGATGCCCGTTGGGGCCCTGGAGGGGATGGGCTAGGTGAGCCTGATGGAAGCAGGTGTTGGGTGGCTTCGGAACCTCTTGTCCTTAACGTGTGTGGCTGCTTGGCCTGTGGAGCCCATGCTTCCCCTGCTCCTGGTTTACCAGTTTCCCCCTTTTCTACCCTGCTCACTCTGGTGTGGCTGTCGTCCTAAACAAGTGTCATAGGAAGAGACTAACTACTGATTGGATGGATGCCAGCACTTACTCACCCATGAGGCTGATGAGGCTGCCCTGTGAAGCCCCCCCTGCCATCACAGACAGCAGAGTCGGGGGGCCTGGTCTCAGGAGCCCTGCTTCTCTGTGAACTCAGCTGCATGCCGTTGACAAATTACCAAGTTTTTTCTGGGTCTCAGTTACCCTGTCTGTAAGATGGGCTTGGGGATGTCATCTGTTGGGGTGGCTGGAATCGAGTAGGAACCAAGGCAGGTGTTTGGGGATCAGACTCTCTGTTACTTAGGCTCCCAGACTGCTCCCCACAGAGCTTCTGTGCTCAGGCAGACAGGGACCCACCAGCTCATCCGTGATTCCCTTGACCACCTGAGAGGTGGCCAGGGACAGGATGGGAGCTGTGGGGTAGCCTTTTGGATTCTTTAGAACGTGAAAGATGGAACCCTGAGGAAAAGGGTCATGGAGCCCAGAGGGAATCCTGGAAATGAGTCCAGCTGGGATGAGGAAACAGCCCCTACACTCACCCCACCCCAAGCAGGAAACTCTATGCTGAGAACTTTCTGTTTAAGAGACCTCTGGGGAGAACTGGCCAGAAAGGAGCTGTTTGAGGAAGGGTTTAAAATTAGCCCGGGTGAAATGTGTGGCCCCTGGGGAAAACTGAAGCAGAGGCTTCTGTGGGGCTCCTCTGGTCTGGGTCTTTGACCCAAACCATGTCCTGCCTTCCTGGGGAGGAGAGAGGGGAGTGGTACTGATCTAGGTCCCTCCATCCAGGGCACTGGCGGCTGTCCTCTTTTGGCTTATCCTCTGGGGGTGAGGTGCTGGGGAGAGACCCTGAGCTACCCAGAGGGGTGGGTGCTCGGGTCCTGTTGTCCTTTCGAATCACCCAGCACTATGCATTACCTTTGCCAGGATGAGTATGTGGTAGGGAGACCTGGGTAGTTTTTTTGTTTTTTGTTTTGAGACAAAGTTTCACTCTTGTTACCCAGGCTGGAGTGCAATGGCATGACCTCGGCTCACCGCAACCTCTGCCTCCTGGGTTCAAGCAATTTTCCTGCCTCAGCCTCCCAAGTAGCTAGGACTACAGACGTGTGCCCCCATGCCCAGCTAATTTTTTTGTATTTTTAGTAGAGACAGGGTTTTACCATGTTGACCAGGATGGTCTCCATCTCTTGACCTCATAATCCACGCGCCTCAGCCTCCCAAAATGCTGGGGTTATAGACGTGAGCCACCACGCCTGGCCCATGAGCCACCATGCCCAGCCTGTTTTGTTTTTTTGAGACAGTCTCCCTCTGTCACCAGGCTGGAGTGCAACGGTGTGATCTCGGCTCACTGTAACCTCCACCTCCTGGGTTCAAGCAATTCTCTTGCCTCAGCCTTCTGAGTAGCTGGGGTTACAGGCATGTACCACCACATACTGCTAATTTTGTATTTTTGGTAGAGACAGGGTTTCTCCATGTTGTTCAGGCTGGTTGTTTTTTTTTTTGAGACGGAGTTTCGCTCTTGTTACCCAGGCTGGAGTGCAATGGTGCGATCTCAGCTCACCACAACCTCCACCTCCTGGGTTCAGGCAATTCTCCTGCCTCAGCCTCCTGAGTAACTGGATTACAGGCACACGCCACCATGCCTGGCTAATTTTTTGTATTTTTAATAGAGACAGGGTTTCACCATGTTGACCAGGATGGTCTTGATCTCTTGACGTCGTGATCCACCTGCCTCAGCCTCCCAAAGTGTTGGGATTACAGGCGTGAGCCACTGTGCCTGGCCTTTTTTAAAAATGGAGTCTCACTCTGTTGCCCAGGCTGAAATGCATTGGTGTGACCTTGACTCGCTGCAACCTCTGCCTCCTGAGTTCAAGGGATTCTCCTACCTCAGCCTCCTGAATAGCTGGGACTGCAGGCATGGGCCACCACACCTGGTTAATTTTTGTATTTTTAGTAGAGACAGGGTTTCACTGAGTCGGCCAGGCTGGTCTCAAACTCCTTACCTCATGATCTGCCCGCCTTGGCCTCCCAAAGTGCTGGGATTACAGCTGTGAGCCACCATGCCTGGCTGAGGCCTGGGTTTTGAGTTCCAGGTCTGCTGTCTTTAAAGAACAAGCTGTGTGACCTTGGGCAAGTCAATTCTGCTTGGGGATTTATATACAGTTCGAAACCCTTACATCAAAGAGCAGAGAGGCCTGCTGGGTTCGGGTCCAGGAGCTCGGTTTGGCCTATTCTGGAGCCTTGGCTGTCTGCCCCCAGATGCTGCCAACACCAAGGCAGGATTGCGGTGGTGTGTATGCAGAGCATGGGCTGCCAGGGCAGTGAGGTGTGAGGTGCCATCACCCCAGGCCCGGGCACAGAGGCTGGCATAGCAGCACCTCTGCTGAGGGAAAGGCGTGTCCCAAGGGGGAAGATGTGTCCCAAGTGGTCCGAGATTCTGTTAGCTGTGCTTGGCAAAAGCTCAGGTGAGGGCAGAAGTCTGTTGTCACCATGGCTGGGAGTCATTCTTGCATAGATGGGAGTGGTGACTCCAGTAACCAGCAGCTATCCTGGCTGGTTTCCTTTACGTTCTTGGCCCTGTTGAATTCTCTGGGTGCATTGAGTGCAGTTTTGCCTAACACTGCTCTAGCTTCCTAATACAAGCCCCTGATCAAAGCCATTGTTTCAGAAAGGCTGTTGACTAGTGTCAGCGGGCCATCATTAGAGCATGGAGCAAGTTCTTTGGTTCTTTGGCACCTCTCCAGAAGGGGATGCGGCCCACTGTAGGGCAACTAAATGCTTTCAAGAGGAGCCGCGTGGTGGGTTGAGGCATGTGAACTTCTAAAATCTGCAGTGGTCAGTTCAGAAGACCTGTGCTTGGCTTAGCAGGAGGAGATGTGGCCCAGAGCAGGAGCCAAGTGTGTAGGGACACTCTGCTTGTTCACATTTTTTTTCTTTTTCTGAGATAGAGTCTTGCTCTGTTGCCCAGGCTGGAGTGCAATGGTGCAATCCTGGCTCTCTGCAACCTCCACCTCATGGGTTCAAGTGATTATCCTGCCTCGGCTTCCTGAGTAGCTGTGATTACAGGCGCCTGCCACAATGCCTGGCTAATTTTTATATTTTTACTAGAGATGGGGTTTCATCATGCTGGCCAGGCTGATCTTAAACTCCTGATCTCAGGCGATCCGCAGGCCTCCGCTTCCCAAAATGTGAAGCCAGTGCGCCTGGCCATATTGTTCATTATTCAGGAAGCCATAGTTTCAAAAAGTGTTTTAATGGATCTAAGCCATGGAAAATATCCCTTCCCCCATCACAATTTTTGGCTGATCAGGGCTTGCTAGTTTAGCCTCGGGTGCCGGCACCATTTAAATAGCAGCAGTGACTGCACTCATAGGATGGACACCTGGTGTTTAGACCTGGCTTGTAACCATGTTGGGGGCGAGGCTCGAAACTCACAGCATCAGCCCAGAACAGTGGCTCACACCTATAATCCCAGCACTTTGGGAGGCCAAGGTGGGCAGATCCCACTTGAGATCAGGAGTTCAAGACCAGCCTGGCCTATGTGGTGAAACCCTGTCTCTACTAAAAAAAAAAAAAAAAAATTAGCTGGGCATGGCGGCGCATGCCTTTAATCCCAGCTACTTGGGAGGCTGAGGTGGGAGAATCACTTGAACTGGGGAGGCAGAGGTTGCAGTGAGTTGAGATTGCACCCCTACAGTCTAGCCTGGGCGACAGAGCGAGACTCCATCTCAAAAAAAAAAAAAAAAAAAAAAAAAATCCCAACTCTCGGCCTGAAGCTGGCAAGATCTTGCTTGTTCTTTGAAACTCAGCATAATGATTCTGACTCCCCGTTCAGTCAACATTTACTACCATCACCATGCTGGGAGCAGGGAGGGAGGCAGGAGTATAAGGTGTTCCTTGCTGTTGAAGAGCCCACATCTCGTGTAGGAGCAGGAGATGGATGAGAAAGTTACAGGCCCTCTATTGAAATCACTGCAGTGCATAGTGGGCATAGGACTCTGTTTCCTTTACATCTTTGCTTCTCCCCAGACCAGACTGGAGCCTGTCTACCAGGGGGCCATGGATATCATCTAAAAAAATAGATACTTTTTGTCTGAGGGGCTAGTAATACAATGGATTAAAAAAAAAAAAGATTTTTATATGTACATTTTTAGGGTGTTAGGCACTGTAGCTTTCTTCAAATTCTTAGAGGAGGCTTTGGTTTGAAAAGGCATGCTGATTAGCCAGGCTTCGTGACATACCTCTGTAATCCGCGTGGTGACATACCTCTGTAATCCCAGCTACTTGGGAGCCTGAGCCAGGAGAATCTCTTGGACCTGGGAGGCAGAGGTTGCAGTGAGCTGATATCACGCCACTGCACTCCAGCCTGGGTATCAGAGTGAGACTCTGTCTCAACAACAAAAAATTCATGCTGGGCTGGGTTTGTACCCTTACTGAACAGGGCTTTCTTTCTGCCTCTGTTCACCAGCAGACTCAGTCTGTGTGCAGAGGCATCTGGCAGATGCTGCATGATGCCCCTGGGATGAACCCACAGAAGGGAAAGGGCTTTGAGAAATTCAGTGATGTGAAACTGTTAATTTACCTCGGTGTCTAAGGAGGCCCAGGAGAGACTTGAGTTCTTCCCTAAGCCTTAGAAGAATCCCAGCTGCCTGCCTGAAGGAAGAGCTGTCGTCATCCCTGTTTGTCTTGGGCAGCCTGGCCCTGATCACTGGTCTCTGTCCCCAGGTCCGGACACTGTTTGTCAGCGGCCTCCCTGTGGACATTAAACCCAGAGAACTGTACTTGCTCTTCCGGCCGTTCAAGGTGAGTCAGGACCTGGCCACCCACTGGGTAGAGCCTGGAACCCTGTAGAAGCAGCGGGAGTGAATCTTGGGCCAGGGCCAGGCAGCAGGATCATGCGGGAAGGTGTGGTAGAGGCTGTGGGGGCAGCTGCAGCCCTCTTTCCTGGTTCTGTGAATTCATGTGCTGCCTTCTGAGAATCCGTTTCCTCGCCAGTTAAATGGAGACAGTGAGAATCTTTAAACACATGTGATCGTATAAAGAATATTTGAGATTCAGTGTAGCCTTTTCAGTTTGCAGATGAGAAAACTTAAAAGGTAAGGTCTATGCTCTCAGCTTACGAGTTAGTGGAGCAAATGGGAATTTCTGCCTGAAGTGATGAGCGCTGCCGCGTGCTGCCCACCCCATGTGCCAGACCATGTGATTCAGAACGCAGGGCAGGGGATGACACTTGGCAGTGGTGGAGGTCAGGGTGGGTTGATGTTGACGGAGAGAAGGGTGTGAGAATGATTCAGGGGATGCCTGGGGAAAGCGGACTGACGAGGTGACAGTGCTGGGTTAGCACAACATACACTTCTGACCTTCCCCGGTAACAGCCACCTCTCTCCGCAGGGGTATGAAGGGTCCCTGATCAAGCTCACCGCGAGACAGGTAACTTCTCTCCTAAGGTTTTCTTCCTCCCAGCCCAGATTGACTGCTGAGCTTGGAACGGAGACCTGTTAACCTTTCCCTGATCTAGTGGCATCCAGCGGTAGAGACGTGCTCCCTGCTGTCCCAACGCCTCTTTACCGGCCAGCTGCTGGCCCTCCCTGTCTGTTTCTTAGGAATCTGGAAGCCATGCCTGCCCTGCTGGCTGAGGACAGTAGAGCAGGTAGCTGAGCTCTAGCTTTTGATACAAGGGGGCCAAGGCCCGCCAGCCTTCAGGGGCTATTTGGGGTCTAGACTGATCCTTGGAAAATGAAGTTGGAGCCATTTTCAACCTGTTGCTCCTTGACTGACCCGGAGGCTTCCATGCCCTTGGTACATTGCAGTCCACTTTTTTGCTGTGGAAAACACTAAGACTTACTTTTAGTTATCTGCGTGCATTTAAAAAAGAATGCTTTTACTAAAGGGGCGATGTTGAATTCGGTGGAATTAAGCTCTGCTGGTGTCACTTCCCACAGGAAAGTGGACTTTTGGCGCACGTCAAGCTGCTGTTCCCGTGAACATGGCTGGAGTTTTTGGGGGCTTTTTTCCTTCTGTGTTCTCTTCTCATAGCAAGGCAAATACTGTTTCCACATGGGTGATGCTCTGTTTCATTTTGTTTTGGAGTGAGAGGTGGAATGCTGGGAGCGATATAAGGGTGTTCTCTCTTTTTCCTTCTAGCCTGTTGGTTTTGTGATCTTTGACAGCCGGGCAGGAGCAGAAGCAGCCAAGAACGCGTTGAACGTGAGTAGGTGGAGGACGGGTCTTCCCTGACCCTCAGACCTCTTAGGCAGTGGGTGTGCAGATGTAGCTTATTTCCCAGCCATCCCTGGGCAGAGTCCTTGGTGGCACTGTCTGTGCCAAACGCCATTACTCAAGGCCCGAGCAGCCTTTCCTCTGCCTCAGCCACTGTGTGGACAAGTGTTCCAGGTGAGCTTGTTCACAGGGCCTTTAAGTGCCATTAACACTCTGGGTCCTCCAGAGTGAGCCTTTCTCTTCCCTTCTCTACCCGTGTAGGGTATTCGCTTCGATCCTGAGAACCCACAGACGCTGAGGCTAGAGTTTGCCAAAGCCAACACCAAGATGGCCAAGAGCAAGCTGATGGCGACTCCAAATCCCAGCAACATGCACCCCGCCCTAGGAGCACACTTGATTGCACGGGACCCCTGTGAGTGGCACTCCGAGCTGGCAGGGCCTCATGGAGGTGCATTCGGGGCAGACTTGCAGGCTCTTACAGAGAGAAGCCTTTTCCAGGAGGCTTTTTAAAATGTCTGTGGCCGCCGTCTTTTGAGACACCTGGTTTTCCTCCCTCCCCCGCAGCCTTCCTAGAGCTTCTGAGCTGCCAGGGCTCCTAGCTTCCCTGAAGCCTTCTCTGATTTCTCATTTGAGATGGGCTGAGGCCTGCCTGACAACTTATTGAAGCAGGTGGGATGTGCACCATGATAGGCCAATTTAACGTGGCTTCCTTGCCTGGTCTTGGGGTCCTCGATGGTTGGGGTGGCCTGGCCTCACTGTGGGGCATATGGCTCAGCCGTAGTGCTGGGTTCCCTTCTCTGTTTGGAAGGGGAGGCGAGTGTTCTGATGATGGAGGCCGTTGTCTCCTGTTGTAGATGACCTGATGGGGGCTGCTCTGATCCCTGCATCCCCAGAGGCCTGGGCCCCCTACCCTTTGTACACCACAGAGCTGACCCCAGCCATCTCCCATGCTGCGTTCACCTACCCAGCTGCCACTGCCGCCGCCGCCGCCCTCCATGCTCAGGTAAGCCCCTTCGGGTTGGGGAGGGTGAAGAACGAGGGCTCTAAGCTGGCCAGACTTTGCACCGCCTGGCCACTCGGCCGCTGCTGTCTCGGAGCTGCAGCAGAACTCTTGTCTTCCTTGATGGTTTGAAAGCCCAGACCCCAGGGACCTATGTGTCCCTGCCCCTGGCTTCAGGATCTGACAGGGAGGGAGAAGATAACCCACAAATTGCCATGGAGGAGGCCAGGCAGCCGAGCTGCAGTTCTCCAGCCCCGAGCACTCCTGCCCAGGTACCGACTCTGTTCTCCCATGGTGATGGGACCTGGACTCCTGTCCTAACCTGGGCACGGTCGCCGCAGCCAGACCACTTGCCTCTGCCCCTTCCTGTCCCTTTCATCAAGCTCTTAAAGATTGCTGTGCCTTGATTTTTTTTTTTTTAATTATCTGGAAAATGAGAATGATCCTATAATCTGCATCGGGGGAATTGTGAAAGTTAGACGTCAAGATAAAGTGACGAGTGAGTGCCAGGATGGAACCTGGAGCACCCAGAGAGCTCACTGAGCATTGGGTCTTGCTTCCGTGAAGGCTGGACACCGTCCACTATGAACCTGTGCTGGGCAGGAAGCAGGGAGCGAATGCTTCTGGGGAGAGTCGGGGCTGTTAGAGCTGGGCGGGGAGGGCTCTGTGTGGGGTGCTGATCTGGGTGTCCAAGGGGCAGGCAGGGGGTTAGGCCCTCCCCTGGCCATGCAGGCACTTCCTCTGGTCTGACTCTGCCACAAGTGCAGGTCACTGTAGCACACTGCAGGGGAGGTCTCATCCCACTGTGTGTGTGTCGGGGAGCGGGGATGGTGCCTCACGGTGGCAGTGACAGAATGGGGCCAGGTAGCCATAGGAAGGGGCTGGAGGGCACTCTCGAGCCTACTTCAGCCTCTGACCAGCCGGGCAATGAGTGCTGATCCCAGGAAGAGGGGCCCGGTCAGCGCGTGCTGTTCTGCTTCGAGGAAGAGAATCAAGGTTGCTGGGACGTGGTTGGGGAGCAGGAGGGGAAGAGGAAGGAAAGCATTAGTACCCTTCATGCTTTCCTTGGCCTTATGACGCTCAGTTGTACTGAGGGCAGAATCATAGGTAACCTTGGTCCTCTTCTCCAGCCAAGCACCACAAATAGCTGGAAAATTGATCAGAGGATAAGGAGGGTGGTAAAGACCTTCTCCTGGAGGGAATTGTTGGGTATTTACTGCAAACTGGGTTCTGTGGCTGGAACAGAGTGGGCAGCAGGGAAGCCCATCCTGTCTACTCTGACCTGGGCAGTTACTTGATGCTTCAGGTCAAGCGGGCAGGCTTAACTGCGAGGCCCTGGGAGGCACTGGAAGGAATCACGGGCTCCCATCCCACCGGGCTCCTCACTTTTGATCCCAGCTTTGGCACCAATTAGCTACATGATTCTTACCTCTGGTCCTCTGTGTCCCCATCTGTAAAATGAGAGGGATAGAGCAGATTAGGTGGAGAGGTTTTGCCCCATCCTCTGAGTTGCTAAGCTGGGGCAGAGGTTGGGAGCCAGGGACAATGAGTTCGTCAAATGAATCAGAAAGGGCACCTCTGCCCAGCCTTCTGGGGGTAGCGCTGCTCTCTGGCCCTGAGCTCCATGCCACAGGGCCTCCTTCCTCCTGTTGGCTTCCCTCCCAGTTTTCTCCCACCCCTTCCACACTCTGCAGCTGTCTAGCTGTGGCCCAAATCCTGGTTCTCAACAGCTGTGGGATGTGTTACCCACCGTCTCTGTGTTTCTGTAAAGTGGCGATAATAGTGCGTACTGGATAGGTGTATTGTTAGCGTGATGGCATGGAGGAAGCGCTGTGGAAGTGCAGGTGATCATGATTGTTACTTAATATCACTACAGTGTGGGTCCCCTTAGGTCTTCTCTGAGGCCGGAGGCATCTTTGTTCCTGAGTTCCTGCTTTCTGGCCTTCCTTGGACAGGGACTGGGATAGAGGCCACTCACCCCAAAGAATAGTGGTGTTTTGGGGGAGGCAGGCTGACGGGAAGAGATTAGACCAGGGAGTCATTAGTTCTGTGCTTGGTACCCAAACTCATTGGGTAGCCATTTCCTCAATAGTAAAAACAGGCTGTGTGCAGTGGCTTATGCCTGTAATCCCAGCACTTTCAGAAGCTGAGGTGGGCCGATCACGAGGTCAGGAGGTTGAGTCCATCCTGGCCAACATGGTGAAACCCTGTCTGTACTAAAAATACAAAAAAATTAGCTGAGTGTGGTGATGCACACCTGTAGTCCCAGCTACTTGGAAGGCTGAGGCAGGAGAATCCCTTGAACCTGGGAGGCAGAGGTTGTGGTGAGCCAAGATCGCGCCATTCTACTCTTGGGCAATAAGAGTGAAACTCTGCCTCAAAAAAAAAAAAAAAAAAAAAAAAAATATTTTTTCCTTCCAACAGCGCCACTCCTTGACCTGTGACAGTGCTGCCCCAGAGATGGAGGTTAAAAGTGTCTAAATAATTAAGTATGGGCCGGGCGCAGTGGCTCACGCCTGTAATCCCAGCATTTTGGGAGGCCGAGGCGGGTAGATCACGAGGTCAAGAGATCGAGACCATCCTGGTCAACATGGTGAAATCCCGTCTCTACTAAAAATGCAAAAATTAGCTGGGCATGGTGGCGTTTGCCTGTAGTCCCAGCTACTTGGGAGGCTGAGGCAGGAGAATTGCTTGAACCTGGGAGGCAGAGGTTGCAGTGAGCCGAGATCGCGCCATTGCACTCCAGCCTGGGGAACAAGAGCGAAACTCTGTCTCAAAAAAAAAAAACTTAAATATTAGAGGGCCTGGCGCAGTGGCTCACGTCTGTAATACCAGCACTTTGGGAGGCTGAGGTGGGCAGATCACCTGAGGTCAGGAGGTCAAGACCAGCCTGGTCAACATGGTGAAACCCCATCTCTACTAAAAAGTAGAAAAATTAGCCAGGTGTGGTGGCAGGCACCTATTATCCCAGCTACTCAGGAGGCTGAGGCAGGGGAATTGCTTGAACCTGGTAGGCAGAGGTTGTGGTGAGCTGACATAGTGGCACTGTTCTCCAGCCTGGGTGACAGAGTGAGACTCCATCTCAAAAAAAAAAAAGGGAAGAAACCTTAAATATTAAGACTTTAAAATACATGTATATCTTAGTAAGTGTAGCTCTATATTTTGGATGCCTGGCCAGTACCCCATTGCACGAGTGTGTCCAGCTCCCTGTAGATGGTAAGTTGGTTTGTTTACACAGTATTTGCTACTGATGGCTATACAACAATTGATGTCCTTGTGCATACTTCTCTGGGAGCGTCTTCTGTTTTGTTTTCTTTATGATAAATTCCTAGAACTATGACAAGGTCAAAGTGTCAGCAAAAATTAAAAAAATTAAAAAAAAAATTAAATTACCAATCTGGGCTAAATATTGTTTTAATTTCAGATGAGTGAGGCTTCCATATTCTCGGTTGCTTATATATCTTTTTTAGTTGTTTTTTTTTTTGAGACAAGATCTCACTCCATTGCCCAGGCTAGAGTGCAGTGGTGTCATCTTGGCTCTTTGTAATCTCTGTCTCCTGGACTCAAGCATGACCCTCCTGCCTCCCAAATTGCTGGGATTACAGGTGTGTGCTACCATGCCCGGCTAATTTCTGTATTTTTTGTAGAGATGGGGTTTCATCATGTTGGCCATACTGGTCTCAAATTTCTGGGCTCAAGAGATCCCCCCACCTCTGCCTCCCAGAGTGCTGGGATTAAGGCATGAGGCACCGCGCCTGGCCTCATATTTATTCTTTATAGGTTCATCCTGTTGCTTGCTTTCTGGTGTATCTTATCAGCTGGTCAGTCCCACGGTCTGAGAGAGGGCTGCGTTTGCGTCCTCTGCTCTTTGTTTTGAAGCAGCCCTCTGGGAGCCTGGTCACTTAAGCCTGTTGGGTGGACTCTCAGGAGTCCTGGCTCCTCCTGTGCACAGCTGGAGGCCCTGAAAGGACACTGTGGGTGCCTTGTCTTGCTGGCCCGGCCCCTGCCGGGGGTCTCCTCTTCTGAGCTGGAGCAGAAAGAAAAGCTCTAGGATGGGACTGTGTGGCTTATAGAGGACCCAGGCCGCTGGCCTATGCTGGACAACCAAAGGAAGTGGAAAAGCAGCCACTCTAGTGCGTTCTCTCTGCTTCAGTGGCACGGCTGTCCCAAGCCCATAAATGGGAGCTTTCCTCTACTTTCTCCCTAAGGAGTCACATGACTAATCTCAGGCTGGAGGGAAAGTCGCTGCTTTGGAAGCAGGAGTCCCAGCACCTTGTAGCTAAAGTGTAAGGCAGGATCCAGCAGAGTGGCTGGAGGGGGCCTTATGCAGTTATTCAAGGCCTCAGATTGCCAGTGGGGAAAGAGGGTGGGTTGCAGGCCTCCTGAGCCTCTCTCACTCTGTCGTCCCCTCGTCTGGCCTTGTGGGACACCCAGCCCGTCAGGCATTTCTTGCTGTGGGGCTCCGCCAGCTGAAGGCCACACGAAGGGCAGTGGTCTGGGCCCACTAAGGGGCTCCCTGGGCTGGTGCCAACCACCGGCTTCTAGGTAGCAGCATCTGGTTTCCTCATGTGTCCGTCTCTTGTGGAATAAGTTCTAGGGTCCAGCCACACTTCTCGTTTCCTGCTGAGCTCCTGGGAGGAGGTGGTGGCTGGAATTCTGCCCTGTATAAAACAGGACCTAGAATTTGTGGGGGACATGAACCAGTTCTAGGGAAGCTTCTATCAGCCCCGAGAAGGGTGGCATGGCTCACCCAGGAAGCAGGAGTTCCCAGCAGCCAAGTGGGTAACTGAGTCTGCCTGCTCTAACCTCAAGGGAGCTGTCTGCAGGCCCACCTTCTGCTTCTTTCCTCCCACATGCTTGCGTGCTGCCCCTCCCTTCCTAGGGGGGACTTCAGCTCCCCTCCCGGCGTGCTCATTCCCAGACCCCAACTCAAGGTCCTGCATTGTCCTGCCCCTACCCTTTCCCCAGTGATCCTGGGTCAGGCTGAGGCAGACATGCTTCACTGTGCGTAGCTGGGGCAGGCGGCTTTCCCTGCGGTCTTGGCAGTCAGCATACTTCCCGTCCAGATGATCAGCCCATGGGGAGGAGGGAATGTGTCATTTTCTTGACCAGTTTCTGGGAACCCAGCTTTGGGGTGACTGCTCTGTGGGGCCTTCTGGCAAGTGCCAGGGTTTAGGATGATCTCAGACAGCTGCCACCCGCCCGAGGTTACAGACTTCTAGACTTAAGGAGCTTGTGATGGAGGGCAGGCACAGCAGGGCTGGGAAGGTCAAAACAAGGTAGCCTCGGCTTGCTCTCATCCATGGCTTCTCTGAAGAATCAGGACCAACATAGGAGAGCCCTACCCCTTGGGGTCTACATGGAGTTTGGGTTTTGTTTTGTTTAATAAAGACAGGGTGTCACTAATATTTCCCAGGTTGGTCTTGAACTCCTGGGCCTCCTGTGATCCTTCCACTTCAGCTTCCCGAAATGTTGGGATTACAGGTGTGTGCCACTGCACCTGGCCCTTACTATATTTTTCTTTTGAGATGGAGTCTCCCTATGTCACCTAGGATGGAGTGTAGTGGCACGATCTCACTCCACAGTCTCACTGCAGTCTCCACCTCCGGGGTTCAAGCGATTCTCCTACCTCAGCCTCTTGAGTAGTTGAGATTGTCGGCGCACACCACTACACCCGGCTAATTTTTTTTGTATTTTTAGTAGAGATGGACTTTCACAATGTTGGTCAGACTGGTCTTGAACTCGTACCCTCGTGATCCTCCCACGTTGGCCTCCCAAAGTCCTGTGATTTTAGGCATGAGCCACCACACCCGGCCTTACTGTATCTTTACATCCTCTTACCTGATCCTCATAACAGCCGTGACTTTTTAATGTCTATCCTGTAGCTGGATGAGGACACTGAGGCTCAAAGAAGTCAAACAAAAAAGTGTACAAGGCTCATTCTCCTCCTAACGTTAGGAATTCCGTGGTCGATCGGTAAAGGGGAAGGGTGGGTTGCTGGCACCACTGCCCCCGGCTGCCAGGACTCCTGCCAGCATAGCGTGGCCCATTTGAATGGGGCTTAGTGGGGTATGAGACGCCTGGGTGACCTTCTCTCATTGAAACCGGTGTCCTGCAGAGGAGGCACGTCAGGCGGTGCTCTCTGACTTTCCCAATGGAGAAACTGGTGCTTAAAGGTGAGTAACTGGCCCGACGTCTGCTAGACAGTCAGTGACAGAACCAGCACTCCGACGGGGACACTGACAGCCACAGTTCCCAGGTTTCCTGTTGAGTGAAGGGGTGCACAGCTGGCTTCCTGACACTGGCTTCTCTTGCAGGTGCGCTGGTACCCTTCCTCTGACACCACCCAGCAAGGATGGAAGTACCGTCAGTTCTGTTAGTTCTTCAGTAAGTGTTGGCCCCAGAGGCCCAGGACAAGTGTCCTCCTCAACTCGGCTCCCTGCAGGGCTGGAGTTCCTTCCTCTGCCCGGGTCTCGAGAGCTTAGCCGAGCCCAGAGCTTGGTTACGGGTGCGTCAGGCTGGTTTTTCCTTCTGCCTGTGACTGCAGGCCATCCACTTGTACAGCCCCTCACCAAAGGAAGGCCTGGCTTTGGCTCCAGTGTCGCGCCTCTGCTCATGGCTGCCTCTCTCCCTCCCTCCAGGTCTGGTCACCGGGGAGTTGGTTTTGGGAATCTATGGTGGTGCCGGCACAGGCGCCCTGAGCTCCCACCGTCCCCGGGCGGCCTGTACAGAGCTGCTGCTGCCCTCCAGAGACTGTGAATCCTAAGCCTGACTCAGTGGACTGCTTTCTGTTCCCCTCCCTCCTCTTCCTCAGCCCTGTTCTGCACCCTCAAGCCTTTCTCCAATGCCTCCCAGGAGGATTTAGGGACCTTCTCACTGAGGCATCCAGGTCCCGCTCAGAGGCCTCACAGGGACCTGGCAAGGCCTGACCTCCCGCCCAAACCTGATTCTGCAGCTCCCCCTCGAGAAAGCAAGGCGTTTGATTTTGCATGTTTTCTGGCATGAATGAAGACACTTACACTTGTGTATATGTGAGCGTACAGTTTGTTCTCACACTGTCACCATAGCGACAGGTCCTGGCCCCCAGTGGTTCATCCTGTCTGGCCCCTCCTCACCCTGCCCCTGCACCCACCCCGCTTCAGGGAAGCCCCGAGCCCTGTGGCCCCATGTGCTTCCAGGCTTAGCTCCCACCTCCACCCAACTGATAGATGGGGTTTGCTTTTCGTTTCACACTGGGCTCCTCTGTTGCTGTCTTCTTGGACCAGCCCCCCACCCATCCTGTTCACCTCTCCAGAGTGCACCCCACCCGCCGCTGCTCCGCGTTTCTTCCAAACCTCGAAACCAACCAGACCGTGAAAAGTATTTTTGTACCCTGTGTAACAAAATATTTATGCATCATAAAGGATTTTTCATGTGTGTACCATTAATTATTAAAGAGACCTCGTTCGCCCTGTCAGATAAGTTTAATGTTTAGTTTGAGGCATGAAGAAGAAAAGGGTTTTCGTTCTTCAGCAGCGAGCCTTTGTGTCAGGCATTTGTTTAAGAAAATGAAATGAAGGAAACGTTGTGCAATGTTTTTTGTTTTGAGCATATCAGTGCTTTACCGTCAGCCACAGCTGTGACCGTCTGGCCATTTCAGAGTCGGGAGCCGAGGTGGCTGTTGCCATTGCTGACCCTGTGAGAATGTGAAACTGGATAATATATGAAATGCAAAATAAAACAAAATCAAGATGACTGCTCTCTGGCCTTTGCTTCCCCCTTCCACAGGACGCAGTCTGCCGTTGGGAAGGCAGTGCCGGAGAGATGTGGAGTCGGGGGGAAGGAAGTGAGGTGGGCCTGGCCGGCTGGCAGCTGGCTTGTCGCTGTAGAGGTGGGGAGTACCCTGGAGCTCACTCAGCCTCTCCTGCCTCTGCCTCTCTCTTTTGTAAGCTTGAGAAACAAAGTCCTAGGGGACGGGACTTGCCCAAGGGCCCGGCAGCTGGAGCTTCACTTATTTCTAGGCTGTCAGGGTAGAGAGAGAGACTCCCTGCACCCAGAACAGGCCCCCAGTGGGACCTTCCTTTTCTAGGGGCACTGTGACCCACTCAGCTTGACCCTTTGCAGCCTGTGGTCTTTTCCAGCCTCGCTCTAGTACAAGAGGACCGAGGTTTGGGCTGTTGAGCTCTGCCCGGTGGTGTCTGTCCTTTGCGAGGCTGTGCTGGAGGGAAGGCTGGGACCTGGAATTTTGCCCAGAAGGGGTTAACCTCATCTGCCCTATAGTGTACAGGCTGCAACTCTGATTCCTCTGATTGAGCAGGAGGAGCAAATGGGTGTGAGGGTCAGGGAGGCTGTGCAGTGCCGAGAGCCCAGCTGAGATGCCTGCCGTGGCCCTGAGGCTTCCCTTTTGTGACTTGGGGTCTCAGGTTCCTTGTCTGTGAAGTTGTGGCTTGAAATCGTTTTTGGCTCTTACTGGAGGGCTGCTGCGCTGAACTCAGGGTTTAATGGTTTGTTTTTTTAATCCACCCCTAGGAGAACTACCCTGCACCCCATGCCATCTGAGACCCAAAGCCGTGGCTGGAAAAGGGGGGCAGTAGGGGCCCCAGAACGCCCCCTCCCAGTAGATGTTGCCCCAGCCTTACTCTGAGTCAAACTAAAGTGGCTGTGGCTGGCTCTGGTCACCTCCTCACTTTCCCCTCGAGTGACCACTCCCCACCTTCACCCCCCCTCCTGAATCCCAGTCCCGCACTGATCGGCTCGGGTCTAAGATGGCACTGCTAGTAAAAGTATCAGCTGGCGACACGTGTGGCCCAGCTTCTGTGAGGGAGGAGGAGGAGGAGCCTGGCCAGGAGCAGGCCCTGCACGTAACTGTGGGTAAGTTACCTGGACCTCAGGGAGGCTGCGATCCTGCCTGGAGGAGTCGGGGGTTACTCGGCTCCCGAGCTGTGCGCTTTGCCTCAATACAGTATTGGACCAGCTGGCAAGACCGCCCAGGCTTCAGCCCCTGCCTGTGCCACTGGGGAAGCTGCTCTGAGCCCTGCGGCCCCCACCAAGGGCCACGCCGAGGTCTGACCTACTTCATCTGTGTCGGGAACCACTGGGTCTTCCTGAGGTGGTGAATTTAGCGAGGGCGCCTGGGCCTTTCTGAGAGGGGCTAAGACAGCTGCTCCATAATTTAAAGGCCCCAGCGCCTGCGGCTTCCCTGGTGGGCCTCCTTCACGCTCTAGCGAGCAGGGCCCAGGCCTGGTTCTGAGAGGAGGAGCTGGGGAAGGAGAGGCCTGCAGCCATTCTAGAGGGCGCTCTCAGCAGGACTGGGGCATTTCTCGGGGTGCGGCCTCTGCAGAAGGCTTTAGTGGACGGTCACATTTGGACTGAACTTGGGTCGAGGGGCCTTCTAGTTCAGGGCTTCCTGGCTGGGGTCAGAAGCAGCCGTTTCCTGATTCCCCGTCCTGTGCTTTTTCCAGAAAGAAGATCGTTCTTCCCAGAGGTGCTGAGTCCTGATCGCTGATTGCAGGTGAAAGTGTTCTTTCCCTTCTGAAAGGGAGTTAGGTGTCTGGGACCACCAGGGTTCTTCCCCCAGCTCCTGTACGCTGAGGTGATGGAGTCTCTCTGTCACCCAGGCTGGAGTGCAGTGACATGATCTCGGCTTACTGCAACCTCTGCCTCCTGGGTTCAAGCCATTCTCCTGCCTCAGCCTCTCGAGTAGCTGGAACTACAGGCATGTGCCACCACACCCAGCTAATTTTTGTTTTTTTAAGACGGAGTTCACTCTTGTTGCCCAGGCTGGAGTGCAACGTCGGGATCTTGGCTCACCGTAAACTCCGCCTCCCAGGTTCAAGCGATTCTCCTGCCTCAGCCTCCTGAGTAGCTGGGATTACAGGCGTGCACCGCCACACCTGGCTAATTTTGTATTTTTAATAGAGATGGGGTTTCTCCATGTTGGTCAGGTTGGTCTCGAACTCCCGTCCTCAGGTGATTTGCCTGCCTTGGCCTCCCGAAGTGCTGGGATTACAGGCGTGAGCCATGGTGCCTGGCCCCCACCAGGGTTCTTTTTGGTTTGGGGGTCCCTTCCCAGCAATGATGAAATCTCCCCGTTGGCAGGAAAGACTGTCCTTCCATGTAACCCCCTCCCCAAAAGCACACTAGTGAGGCTAGTACCAAACAGATGCTCGTAAACCACTGGGAAGCCCCTGTTCCCCCGACGCCCTGGCCAGAGCAAAAGAGATGGTGCTTGTCACTCTGGCTGGACCATCCTTGGGTGCTGCTGCCTAGCTACCGTTTTTTCTTTTCTTTTCTTTTTTTTTTTTGGAGACAGGGTCTCTCTGCTACGCTGGAGTGCAATGGTGTGATCATGGTTCACTGCAACCTCTGCCTCCTGGGCTCAATTAATCCTCCCACCTCAGCCTCCAGAGTAGTAGCTGGGACCACAGGCACACACCACCATGCCTGGCTAATTTATGTATTTTTTTGTAGAGACCCAGGGGTTTCACCATGTTGGCCAGACTGGTCTCAAACTTTCGGGCTCAAGTGATCCACCTGCCTCAGCCTCCCAAAGTGCTGGTATTACAGGCATGAGCCATGTTGCCCAGTGATTTTAAGGGATGGATGTGACTTATTTTGGAGCTTTCCCAGGCAGGTTCCCAGGTTCCAGGCTGTGTTACCTGACACGGTGGTGCATCTTGGGGATCAGTACAAGGTAAGTCCAGGCCACGTGGAATCCAGAGGTCTGGAGCAGGGGTGGGAGGGATCCAGGCCTCCCTCAGGCCCACTGTTCTACCCCACCCTGTCCTGCCCGCACGTGCCCTGCAGAGCTCCATTTCCTGAGATCTGGAATAAAGCCTTTGGATCTTGAGTTTTTTGTCAGAAGGCAGATATCCCTGAGAAACCAGGCTAAGTCCCTCAGAGGAGGGAAGTAGGGAAAGTGCCAGAAGGGGACCGTAGAAGGGAAAGGTGGAAAATGGGAGGATAAAGACTCCTGCAAAGGTATGTGGAGGAGGGAGCAGAGCCACCCCAGTCAGCTGAGGGCCTGCCCTACCTAACATCCTCTGCACCAGCCTCCACCCAGGTGGCCCCATAGGAGGGCAGGCCCTGCCCCAATGCCTGCTCTCAGGCAGAGGAGGGGCTCCAGGAGCAAGGAGAGCAAGGCTGGACAGGATCACTGTCTTGGCAACTTTCCAGGGCGGCCTGGAAAGGGGCATGTGGTCCAGGTCCATTCCATTCCCCTTCCCCCACCTCCTTGACCATCACCCCCTAGCTCCCTGGTCTCTGGTTGGGATGAGGGAATAGGGACCTCTGCAGGAGTTTGGAGGGAGGTCAGGTGCCCTTGGCCATTGTCTTCATGACCTTCCAGCCACCTCCTTAAATCTGTTCTTCTGAGGGGCCCTTCAGATGACCCCAGGAAACCAGGATTGGACATTGACACTGAGTCCACCCAGCTCTCCCATTCAGATGGAGAACGTGGAGCACAGAGGTGAGTGGTTTGCCCTAAAGCCAGCCCTTTGTTGTTTTGGAGACGGTGGCTCCTGCCTTCCAGTCAGTCAAGCACCGCACAGGTTAGGCAGGCAGCAGACGCCTCACCCCACAGGCTTGGAAGCCTCTCCCTGCAGTGCTAGAGCCGCGGTTATGGCTCAGGGCTGCTGGCTGCACACCTCTTCTTGGCATGCCGTGCATACTGTTGTCTTCTGTCTTGGTCTAAATATGACCCGGTCTTCCCTGGGACACTGGGTCTTACTCCCTGGTTAAGGGACAAAGAGAAGCCCTTGGTGACCCATCTGGCTTCGGCTTAGCCTTGTGTAGTCTGGTCTTCAACCCAGTGATCAGGATTGTTGGACCTGCAGGACATATCTGGCTCTCAGCTATGCAAGAGCCAAGACAGTGGATCTGCATTTCTGTCTGTAGCAGAGAAAATGCAGCCGTTGAGTAGGAGGAGCCTAAGAGACAGAAACGGCGGTCTCATCCCAGAAAAGCCCAGGTCTTTCCTCGGAGTGTGTGTTTCTTTGTGACTATGTTTCCTTCCCTCACCAGGTTATGAGTTTTAATGATGACACAATAACATTGGTTGTGTTATAACACAATAACATGCCTAACACATAGTAGGTACTCCCTAAATGTTTCTATGGCTATTTATATTTATTTATTTATTTTCTAGATGGAATCTCACTCTGCTGTCCAGGCTCGAGTGCAGTGGCACAATCTTAGCTCACTGCAACCTCTGCCTCCCGGGTTCAAGCAATTCTCCCTGCCTCAGCCTCCCAAGTACCTGGAATTACAGGCACCCACCACCACGCCCAGCTAATTTTTGTATTTTTAGTGGACATGAGATTTCTCCATGTGCCCTTTAACCCAGTGATTAGGGTTGGTCTTGAACCCTGGACTCAAGTGATCCCCTTGCCTCAGCTTCCCAAAGTGCTGGGATTACAGGTGTGAGCCACCATGCCTGGCCAGTGGTTATATTAAAAAGATACTATTTCACTCATTCTTAACAAGCAGTGAAATCGAGTTGATTCCAATTGGTTTACTCCTTGACTGGGTGTTCATTGGATTAATAGTCATTAAAAAAAATTTTTTTTTTTTGGATCAGTCTCACTCTGTCACCCAGGCTGGAGTGCAGTGGTGCAATCTTGGCTCACTGTAACCTTCCCCTCCCGGGTTCAAGCAATTCTCCTGCCTCAGCCTCCTGAGTAGCTGGGACTACAGGTACGCGCCACCATGCCCGGCTAATTTTTGTATTTTTAGTAGAGACGGGGTTTCACCATGTT